AAAAAAAAAAAAAAGAGCTAAAATGAATAGAGAGAAATACTGTTAACTGATGGTACATGGAGGAGATTATAATAATTGTAATTAAACAAGGTGTATGATTTGTTGAATGTGAAATTGAGATGATCTGCCCTGTAAACTTTCACTCAATTCACAATAAAAACTTAAAAAAATCTCTAAGAAAAATAAGACCATTATTGTAAAAGCTTAAGAAAAGGCACCCATACTAAAGGAAAAAAAAATTATTTGTTGGTTATCAGGGGTGGGATGGAGGGGATGGATGGTAGAGCACAGGCTAGGGATAGACACATCATAGTTTGGGTGTTGGGAGGGGGATGGAAAAACAGGTAGATAGGGGAACACTTAGGTCAGTTTGCATGGGCTAAATGGGACAGAGGTAAATAGTAATTAATGTATGCTTAACCTTGGAACAACAGGGCTCTGTGATACAGGGATCGAGGCATAGTCTGAGTGGGTAAAAGAGGGGAAATAATATTAAGATGCTTGACTGTTTTATGTATTTATTGGTTTCCCTTACCCACTATTGTAAAATAGATACTTGAGTGGGATAGAAAAGAATGTTGGGAAACACGACTATAGAAAGTTTGTAAGTCTGTCTTCAGCCTATAACTAACTGATTAGAATACCTAAAGAGGGTTCTAGAACTTGCCCAGTGAAATAGGCTTCTTGTGGAGTCTTTTAGTGTACAGGACCTTAGGTAGAATCCTGAGTCCCAGAACCTTCTGGGGTAAGAGGTCCCCACTTGAAAGAACATGCAGACCAGCCCGGAGCAGCTAGAGGAACAGAAGATACCTCCTGAAAGAAAGACCAGCAGGAAAAAACAATAATAAAACTGACAGTCTGTTTGGCTATTATAAGAACAAACAAACTGTTGGCCAAGGAACCATCAAGGCAAGTCCCTGTAGGACAAACACCCCCCTCCCCCAGATTGAAACTCAAAGGGAACACACAAGCAGGCATGTAAGCTAGCTGGCGACCATGTTGGTCTACATGTGAGAGGAAGTGGGGGGGGGAGGGGGGAGTCAGTAATGAAGATATGGGCTGAGTTCAACCATGTTCCATAGACTCCTGTTGACCTTGTGATATGAGAGAAAAGAGGAAGAGGAACTGCTGGTTGGTCCGAAGTTTGGGGAGATCTGTGAACTCCTGAGTCCATGGACATTAACCTAGCCACAGAGAGCTAGAGCTGAGATGAAGTATCTAGCTGATATGAAGTGGGGGGAAGGCACACAAGAATGCTCAAACTTGCATATAGTACCCAGATGAGCTAACTCTGATGGCTTGATGACCAGAGCTCAAATAGAGGAAGATAAAGAAATTTGATACAGGAAGCAAGTGTAACTTGCTACAATTTGATGAACTTGACCTATACTTATAGATGTAGTAGCTCAAAAATACCAACTGAGGGGGAAGGAGTCTTCACATCAAGGATCAAACCTATTCTCTCGGTATACAGGGTAGATAGGGATGGGCAACTTAGACACTGGCTACCTAAAATGGAGAGACTCTAAAGGCATGAAGTGGCTGTCTTACAAGTGTTCAAGAGGGAGTTTAGTTTCAGAGTGTGTGGGGGAAGGTAGACTCCCCACTGAATAGTTTTCATCTTGCCTAGGTGGGTCTGGTGAAAGGAGATGGGGATAGGATTCTTTTGAGTATTTGTTATCATGACTAATTGTGATGGTCACAACTGTAAAGGTAAAAGTTTTGTAATATAAAGGGAGGAGTAGCTAATCTTGCATTCCAGGAACAGAGGACCCTAGGATCATCAAGGGGGAATAGCATGAGTGGAATATGAGTCCTTAACCAAAGAAGCAGCGACATCAGAGATGAAGGCAGAGATGATGACATGGCTAGATCGAGCATCTGAAGACTCTAGACTCATGGAAAGAGAAAGACTGTGTGCTGGCGGCCAGGAGGCAGGCTTACAGAATGTGCTCTTTGGTTATTTAAATGATTACATATTTTTGAATGTTTTTGTGTACATCAAAACAAGCAAACAAAAAACAGCGTACAAAAGAAAATACTGTTAAATTATGATGCATGGAGGGGATTGTAATCATTGCAATGAAACAAAATATGATAGGATGAGTGCAAAACCAATGTTCTCCCTTGTAAACTATCCCTCCATTCACAAGAAAAGCTTAAAAAAAAAAAAAAAAGATAAATTATTCTCTAAAATTCCTGAACACTACGGTGTTGTTTCGACTGGTTTGCAGTGAGGACTTGGGGGGTGGAGAGGGGTCTCCCATACACTGATTGTTACTCACATAGAAGCTTCTCTTTTTGCAGGGGGTCTGGTATCAAATTGTCTCTTTCCCCAAAAGAGCCATTCAACAGGAATCGAGAGTTACTCCTCCAGACATGTTGATGTGTTGCAGAGTTGGGTAAGCTGCCTCTCTGAGCTAAGAATAAGCAGTTGAATTCAGGTTGTAGGAGGCTGGCTCACCATCAACATCAAAGTCAATACTGAAACCATTACTACCCAAAGCAACACTATCTCCATCACCACCACCACCCACCGCAGGGTTTTGAAGTAAATATAGTCTCACTTCTCAAAAACGCTTGGTATCCCAATCTAGGTGAGTGAAACAACTGTACCCATTTCACAGCTAAGGAAACAAGAGAATGGGAAGGAGCCTTGAAAAGCAATGGATACAATTGGTTCAAACTTAATACTTTGAGAAAGAATTATTAAGGAAACTAATGTTTCAAGGCTCATTGGAGGAACGCTTAGATTCATAATGCCTATGAATCCTTGAATTTTTTCCTATGGTGGAGTATTAGCAACATTAAGTGGGGTTATCAGGAAACTCTAATTTAACTCCATTCTGGCTAAGACCCCGTGGGAACTCATTTAATTATCACGAAGCACAAAGTAGGACTCTCAACTCTGCCAAGTCGTCAATGAATAAAAGACTTCATTTCAGAAGCCCAGAGAGAGTGATGCTAGATGAGAAAGAGCTGTTACCTTTAAAGTAGCCGTAGTACTGCAGGTGGTGGAACATGAAATTTTCATAGGGGTCAGGTAGGGTCTGTGAAAGGGAATGACAGTCCATGATAGGATTTCTGAACTCTCCAGATGCCACCCAACTACCATTGCAGAGGACAACAGATCCAACCCATTCAAAATCCACCACCGTTGAGTGAATTGACTCATAGTTTCTGAGACTGTAAATCTTTATGGGAGCAGACAACCTTATCTGTCTCTTCAAGAGCGGCTGCTGGGTTTGAACCACTGATCTTTCAATTAGCAGCCCAATGCTTAACTATTGCACCACTTGGGCTACTGAACAGGCCTGAATGTTTCTGTAAACAAACCAAATGAAGACACTTCTGCCAATCATTCTATCATGGGGTATCAAGATTTCCAAGTGGAAACGTCTTTCTGATCTTTCCTGTTAAGTGCTATCGAGTCGGTTTCGACCCAGACCCACAGCAACCCTATATAAAGGATTCTAAAGGGTGACTGGTGCGCTTGAAGTGACAACTTTGTGGTTCAAGCCAACTTTGCAGTCCAGCGCATTAACCCGCAGTGCCACACCAGGACTCCTATTTCTGATCTGGTCCTGGATTTTTGCAGGGGGGTGGGAGGCGGGTGCTTCCGGAGAGGGATACAGGGGTACACACAGACCTGCTTGAGCTCGGTTTCTAAGGCTGGGAACATGTTACTTCTGCATGGTATGCCGAAGCCCAGTCAGTGACATCGGTGTCCGACCGCAACCCGGGCCAAATTTCCACAGGAGATGCTACAACAGCAGAGCGGAGCATTGAACACGCGGCAGCCACGCTTGTCCCCGCGAGCCAGCCGGCCACTTTAGGGAGGTCCCGCCGCCCGCCCTGTGCAGAGGAGCCCAACGCTTTCGGAAGTGCGCCGCTTTCGGAAATGCACCGGGAGGCTCGTCTTCCTACCTTCTCATCCCGAGGCGCCTGGCCTCTCCCTTTGAGAGATGCTACCCCACCCCCCGAGAGAAGTGCGGGAGGGAAAGGGTCTCAGGAGAGATGGACCAGCGGCAGGAAGAGTGGGCACTCAAGGAGGGGAACGGGGTTCCACGCTTCCGGGTAGGTCACCGGGACAGGACGACTGTGAAGATAGTTTCCCAGGCGGATTTCCTGAGAGCGAGCTAAGGGTGCTAGGACCCCGCGCCCCGGGCAGCAGGGGTTGGTGCGGCTCCCACAGTGACAGGGGAGCCCAGAGGCCCCGGTACTGCAAGTTCAGAGGCTACACTTTGCACCTGCCAAAGCCCACGCTCCCAGAGCTCACCCGCCAGCTTTCAGCTAAGGTCCCAGTAGCCTAGCAACCGCGGGGGGGGTGGGGGGCGGAAGGAGGACTAGAGGCCGGGCATTTCCGGGAGACTCAGGCCCCGCCTCCCAAGAATGTGTGTATTGGGCTCAGCGCCTGAGCTGTAGCCAATGTTGCAGAAAACGGTAGTCAATACTTTCATGCAAGATTACAGCTCCACTCTGTGGAATCCAAATTGGCCAGATAATATAGCTAGTTCTGTTCCCATGCAGCAGCAAGAGTCAGAAAGAACTCAACTCGAAATCTAAAAGAGCAGAAGTTTATTGCCTGCCGCCAGTGTCAGCTCAAGCCCAAATCACACTGACCCCCAAGTGAGGAGGGGAGCAGGGCTTTATACAAGAAACACAGAGCGGTTAGAACACACAGAATTGTCTTGTCAGCTGGGGTGGTAAATTCTAGGAGATCCTTATTCTGTAAGAGGGAGTAAACCAACCAATAAACCCTTACTCTGTTTGTATGGATGAGCTAAGTTTTATCCGTTTGTTCAGGTGTCCTTGGGTCTTTCTAGCCTTCGCAGTTTTTCTGTAAATTTATTATTTTTCCATAGGGTGAGGTGGGAGGGGTAGAAGGGGGGAGCAGGATGAGACGGGGCTGAAAGGACTTAGTTTAAATGGGGGCTTTAGAAACTTATGCAATACATTGCTCCGCCCCTTAGCCAGAATTGAAAATAGCCCTTTGCGTTTGAGTAAATCCAAGAAATGTTAGCAAGTTAGAACCACACATTTTGAACAGCAAATTGGCAGACTGACAAAGACACAGGTGCTCTGCACCCGACTCCTACAAGCCTGGGAAACTGAGGTAGTTCAAGAAAAAGCTTTTTCTTTCATTGCATCAATTTATGAAAGTAACCAGAAAAACAACTCATGAAGTCCTGGTGTGGAGCTGTGGGATAAAGCACTGAACTGCTAACTGCAGGATCAGTGGTTCAAATCCACCAGCCGCTCCTAGGACCCTATACAGGGTTGCTGTGAGTCAGAACTGACTCGAGCACTAACAACATATAATACTTTCAAATATAAAGTACTTTCTCAAAATGTCAACCACATTCCATCATTTTAAGGATTACATAGATCATATATTAAGTTAATGTTATACATGGGCCAAGGAGCCTCATCTGCTGAGAAGCTTGTTTTCATTCTATTGGGTGCCATTGACTTGGTTCTGACTCAGCAGCAGTTGGTGGGTTTGAACCTCCAACCTTGTGGCTAGCAGGTCAGTGTTCATCCTATAGAGCCACACCAGGGTCCACTCAAGATCCTAGGGCTCTTCTTTTCCTTTACTCCAAGTCTTCCTTATTTGCACATGCCTTCGATTAGAAAAAACAATGCCAAATTAATTGATCTGGTCAAATAAACAGCTAAATGCTCAAAAGACAGGTGGATAAACAATCAGAAGTATAAAAAAAGCTTTATTAGTGAATATATACAAATTTACAAGGTCAAAAACTGGAGAAATACAAATAGCTTTAAAACACAATTTGCTTTTTCTTCAGTTTAAAGTGACTTTTACCTGATTGTGATACAATAGAAAGTACGGGAAGAGTAAACAGCTTTTCTTAAATACTGGAATTTTATGGAGAATACAGTCACACACAGAATGGAGGTGGATTTGGGAACAGGATAAGACAATGGAGATACATTAATACATAGCGTGGCCCTTGTTACATTTACTGCCACATACTTCAGGAGGAAATTCTGAAAATCCAGGACACTAACACTCGCTGCTGCTGCCGCCAGTATTAAAATTTAAATATGCCATCTATTTACTGGGTGAAATGACTTAGCTACCAGTTATAGAATTTGTGAGAAAAAGGACTAAAGCATGTGGTCATTTGTCAGCAAAAGCTGACAGACCTCAGCACTTCTGGGGTAACAGACTACAGGAAAAGTGGTCAGAGAAGACCCCACGAGAATCCTAGTTTCCTAGGTGGAGTAGAGAGCTGCCTTCTTAATTGCACTTGTTTGGAGGAGAAGTTGGTGAGGGTGCTACACTAAGAAGGAAAGAGCCTCTTGTTACTAGGCAGGAAAACCCTTCATTTTTTGTCAGTGAGTCCCCTTCAGAGCTGTCACACTCATGAGCCACAAGCTGAAGATTGACGAGGTTAATATACGTCACATGCTGAGCTTCCCGGTGCGAGAACAGAGGTGGCCGGGTCAAAGCAATTCCAATCACCTTGCTCTACAGCAACACAGAAGAATTTCATTCCACAATGGGAAAACTTGGTACATGTAGGTTCTTGCCCAGGGAATTCATATGTTCTCCCCAATAACATTTAGACTGACAATAGTAAAACTAGTTAAAGACTGAACTCAACACAAACAAAACAAATATGAAAAATAAAAAAAGGGTTTTCTTTTTTTAAAAAAAAATTATGTGTTTGGGGTCATTTTCCTTCTCTTCAGTCTTGCTCGCCAATCCTCAGGAAGGGCTTCAAAATTAGCATTTCTTTCTGCCATGCCACTGTGGGGAAAACAACCATATAGATTACATCACTGGAAAAAACAAAACCATTCATTTCCCAGCAAGTAAGAACCTTGAACTGAAAATCATCAATCACATCTATATGTTCACTAAAATCTTCATGCTCCTCAGCTATACACATTTATTGAACTTAATGGATTAACCAGACACACATACTACCTCTGTACTCTCTATGCTGAATTTGGATGTGTACATTTACTTATGTAAGAGGGGTTTCAAAAGCTTTGTGGAAAAATGGAATGGAAAGATAATGATATTGTATCTTCACTAACCATTAAAGGCCACATACAAAGAATAATACATATGACTATAAAAGTTTTTCTTAGTTAAAGAAATTAAATCAATGAAAATACATTTAACTCTCAATAGGGCACTGTGACCCTTGGGACCAATTCAACCATTAAAAAATAGATTAAAGTCAACAGAAGGAAAAAATAGATTAAAACTCAGATTTTCTGTCTTACAATCACCACAATGGTTAGTACATTGAGTCCTTTTATAAATCTCCCTAATATAAAATACTTGTGTATAACAAGATACCTGTGATTTTTCTCCCTATTTCTTATTATTTTGAAACCATTTGCTATTTCATCATTGCCATCAACTCAGTTTTGAATCCTAAAAACACTGTGTGTGTGTATATATATATGTAGTGTGCTGAGGAGTGGCTGGTGGGTTTGAACCACTATCCTATGGTTAGCAGTGTAGTGCTTATCCTACAGCGCAGCACCAGAACTCAGTATTTCATCACTGTATGAATTACTTAATCACTGCTCATCAATCCCCTGCTGGAAAAATCTAAGATAAAAAAACTGAAGGATGATGCAGAAGTGAAATAAACCATGGACTACAAGAACAAACAAATCTGTCCTAGGAGAAATACAGCCAGAATGTTCCTTAGAAGTGAGGATGATGAAACGTCATTTCTGTACTTCAGACAAGTTATCAGGAAAAGGACACGCTTGACAGAGCAGAGATTCAATGAAAAACAAGACCCTCAATGAGATGGAATAGACTCTAACTTAACAACTGTGGCTGGTGAAGGACGTTTCCTTCTGTTGTACATAATAGGGTTGGAGCAGACTGAGGGCACACAACTACAACAGTAACAACGTTCTACACACCTCTCAGCTTTCTTGCTGTGTTGCCTATATTAGTGAATCATTTTTCAAGAAAGTAAAAAGTCTGGAGAGGGCAAGTTCAGTCTTTAAAGATCACACCTTCCTACAGGGCATTAATTCTATTCTACTCTGTCCTACAGGGTTGTTATGAGTCAGCAATGACCCAACAGCAACATTTTTGGGGACGAGGGATAACTCAAAACTAAGAAAATACAGGATAGAAATTTGGGTTTGATATGTATAAATTCTTGTTACTATAGTTTTCCTTCTGACCCCTATCCTTCTGTCACATTTTTGTAAAATAATTTAAAAATACCCACTGGATATAGATAGTAAATAGTAATGGTATGTAAACAGAGACTTAGGACAGTCCTTTGTCTTAGATGAACACAGTGGGAAATAGCATCACAACTCTGATACCTGTGGTATCTGGAATAAAATCAGACCATGCTGTTTACAGGGGAAACAAATACTTCTATGAATCAAATCTTAATTTAGATAATAATTTATAAGGACTGGCAGAAACTAAGGGCTATGATTTAAAGACTACAACTGCACTAAAACAGTAACAACCCCCACAAATTCACCCCTGTTTTCAACCTTTCGTTTACCTGACTAATTGCTGCTGTTTCCATTCTTCAATTCGCTTCTGTGCAGTTGATTCCCGGTCTTCCTCACTGGAACTCGAGTTCTCCTCTTCATCTAACTCACGCTGGATACTCTGCCACTTCTTTACCAGAGATGGCATTTTGGTTTTACTCTTCTTTGCCTGCAATCGTGGTTAAAGTAAAGAGGGAATATAATACACAAAAATAAGGAGACTAGAAAATTCAGCCTTCCATGCTAAAAGATCTTTTGCTAGAAGGAACGTGAACTTTAAAATCAAAAGAACAAAAAAGCAGGAAATGAACACCACTCACTCTAAGTTCTTTGCATAAGCTTTTACCACCTACAGACCAAAAAGTTTAGTTCACAATATATTGAACTATAAAAAAGTTATTTTCTAAAATTATATTAAACTTTTCATCCATCACCCTATTCTAGGAAATGCAAAATCACTGTCTTTGTGTTATCTCCTGAGAATTAGCGTTTCATTTCCCAAATTTTAAACAAGTTTCACTCCATGTGGTAAATAATTGAGAAACAAGGGCAGCATTTCTGGAAAGATCAACAGAATCAATGGCAACTATGAAACAAAAAAGTATTTTCTGTTTTACACTACTAATTTGCAAATCATCCCCTACCATATATTTGGGCTCCTGTGGTACTGTACGACAAAGCACTGGACTGTGAACCACAAGGTCGGCACCTCAAACCCATCAGCTGCTCCCTGGAAACCCTAATACAGGGTCACTGTGAGTTGGAACTGACTGGAAGTCACTTCACCACCACCACTGTACACCTACACATTCACCTCACTCCCTGCCAGAGGAGGAGCTCTATCAGCAGTCTGATCCAATTCTGAACCCCCAGCTCCTAGTGAGAGAGCATGTGACACACAGTATACATTCAGTAGGTACTTGCTGACAGAGGATTTCTGTCAAATTAGCGAGGCCTCTATATTGGACAATGACAGGGGCAAATGTATCCCTGTGTTGTTGCAGAGCAGTAGAGCTGTCCGTGTGCCTGACAACCCCACCAGGTCACACTGAGAGTGGGGTCAGCAAGTGCGCCAGTGGGAATGTGAGAGCTGTGCTCATGAGAAGAGTGCGCATTAGTGCCCAGGTTGTTTTTCCTGTCTGTATTTGAGACAGATTTCTTGAATAAAAGTCCCAAAAATCTCAGACAGTAAATGGCCTAGTGCCAGTCCTTTACCCTGTTTGGTTTCCTGTCCAATTCTCTGTTGTTGAGTTGTTGAGCTCCTGGAACAATGGAAACCCATTCAACATGCTCAGACCCTGTCATATTCTACTGTTCACTTCACCTGTGGTACCACCTGGCACACCACACACGCACCCCCTTCTAACAAGGAGTAGCAGAGCCCCTGGGTTAGCATGGAACTAGCCAAGTAAATGTAAGCTGAAATCATAACGGCCATGTGAGTACAGACAATTTGTTGGGTGTAACTTAACACCTCTCACTAAACACCTGTGTGTTGTTGTTAAGTACCGTGGAGTCGGTTCCGACTCATATAGTGACCCTGCACAGGGTTTCCAAGGCTGTAAATCTTTATGGGAGCAGAACATCTCATCTTTCTCCCATGGAACCGCTGGTAGTTTCGAACTGCTGTCTTTGAGGTCAGCAGCCCAACTTGTAACCACTACGCTACCAGAGCTCCTTAAACACCTATAAGCATGGTTATAAAGGACAGGTCTAGGGTGTCACTGCTGCTTCACCTAGACTTCTGTTATTAAGTGCATTAGAATCAGTTCCGACTCATAGCAAGTGTATATAGGGCTTCTGATGAGTAGCTGGTGGGTTTGAACCACTGACCTTGCACTTAGCAGTCCACTGTTACAGTGCCACACCAGGACTTCTGTAGTGCTTAGCAAACTTTTGTGGGAAAATAAGTTTAGAAATTATGCAATGTCTGCTATATCCAAAAGGATCCCAGGTGGTACAACAGTTAAGTACTGGGTTGTTAACCAAAAGTTTGGCATCGGAACCTGCTCAGTGTCTCTTTAGGACAAAGCTCTGGCTATCTGCTCCTGTAAAGACCACCAAGAAAGCCTTATGTGACACTTCTACTCTGCCACTCAACATTGGATTCAAAACCACAGATCTAAAAAGCTACACAGGACCTTACAAGTACTTTTTTTCCTTTTCTTTTCTCCCAATTGTATGAAATTTCTATAACCTTGCTCTAAAGATGGTAAAGAACAAGGCCTCAAACTGTTTCAAAATTATTCTTGCAAGCACTTTAGGAATACATAAGGTCACTCCAGACCCAAGCATGCTGGAAGCTTGCAGTTGAACACATTTTTAATAGCCAACATCACAATCAGAGGAATAAAGATTAAATGATTAATCCCCCACCCCCAGTCACTATACATTGAGAGAAGACTAAAATATACATTGGTCTCAAATGTTCTTACACTTTAAAGGCACTCACGGATATACTCTATGTTGTTGATTTAAAATGATCTATTCACAACAAAAAGATGGTACCTGCTGCATGCAATGGAGTACTAATGTGTTCTAAAAAGGAATGAAATACTGATGTATGCTGCAGTGTGGGTGGACCTTGTAAGCATTATGCTAAACATTAAGGCAAGCATGAAAACTCACATAACATATGAAGTATTCAGAATAGGTAAATCTAGAGAAACCGAGAGCAGATTGGTGGTTTTCAAGAGATGGGAGGGGGGAAATGGAGACAGACTGCTTACCGGGTATACGGTTTTCTTTTTGGGGTGATGAAAAGGGTTTGAACTAGATGCAGGTGGTGTGAATATAATGAATGCCTCTGAACTGTACAGTTTTAAAGTTAAATTATACCCCAACTGTAAAACAAATTAACAAAATATAAAACAGATTTCATATACCTTATCTTTTTTTCCTTTTTTGGTCTTCTCAGATGGTGGCATTTTGGGAGCTGGTGGTGGCGGTGGTGGAGGGGGAGGAGGAGGGGGAGGAGGTTCTAGAATGGCCGTGGTAGGTACAGCACTGCGGGCTTGGACTGGCTGCAGTGTAGGAGCAGTCATTCCAATTGGAACAGAACACTCAGCATAGCTCATAATTGCAGATGCTGTTGCAAGTCCAAGGTAATTCGACTGCAGGCTGATTCCTCTGGCCTGCTGACCCATCCCTGCTGCTGGATGGCTAACTGTTATAGTCGTGTGTCCAATCCCTGCAGTCTGGTTACTGATCCCTGTTGTCTGCTGACCTAACACAGAAAACATAAAATGATACTATAAAAAAGGACATTGTCACAAGACCGGAAACGAGGAAAAGAATAAGGGAATTAAGGGTTAATATAACCTATAAAATTATTCTAATAAACCATTTCCTTAAAAAAATACAGCCACATTTGGCTGGGGACAAAATACTAATTTCTGAATACAGTAGCATTAAGATACTTAATCACTGTATATATAAATGTGCTCAACAAGATCTGGAAGGATCTATATGTCTAAGTGTTAGGCCCAGCCAGCAAGGTGGCACCATCTGTGTTGCTGCGTCCATTCTCCTAGCTTCTGGCCTCATCCTGGCTCCTGAATGGCGTTTCAACAATGTCACATGGTGAACTGAACACTGTATTGCCATAGGACATTAGTTTTCCTGTGGTTCTATCTCATCAAACAGCTTAATAATTAATGACTTAAAATATAACAGAAAATATGGACAGGACACACTATTAAAATACAAATTCAGTATGCTCCATGTAATGATTATAGCAATCCCACTGGATTTACCAATCTTCTGATTATAAATGAATAAAAAGTTTTTATGTGAATATATACTGTCAACATTTGTGAGCTGCATCAAGTGAAAATAAAAAATATTTTTGTATTCTTAAAAACAAAACAAAAACAGTGCTTTTAAAATTGAAATAAATGCATGTAAATAATTATGATTAAAAACAAGCCTTCAACATTTCTTTAATTAATACTATCTACTGATGGAAACAAAGAAAAAATCCATAAGAAAAACACACTTTAATCATGATGCCACGATGCTCACCTCTAGCTACTGCTGACTGGCTGTAGAGGACAGGAGAGCTGCCAATGGTAGCTGACCTCTGAACTACTGCAGTACTCATTTCTGCAGCTTTTCTCTTCACTGCTTTAGCGGAAGGCGAGCTAGAAGTGCTAGAATCAACAGAACTCTGAAACACAAAGATTCTGGTTAGTGGCCCAGGTCCTGGCGTACTATCACCTTCTACAATGCAATACAGTGTCAACCCTCCCTCACTTACCTGTGTGGTTACTGCCGGAGTTGGAGTAGAAGGCTTCAGAAGAGTATCCTCCTCTGTTCCGGGGGCAGGAGGCTCCTCGCTCCCCTCATCTTCCATCTCTACCTCCTGTATCTCACTGTCTTCTACAGGAGGAGGAGGAGGTGGTGGTGGTGGCATTTCCAAGGGTAATGGAGGTTGAAGCACAGGCACATTTGACTGAAGAAGGGTCCAGAATGGAGTAAGTGGCATGAGTGACGAAGAAGAAACTTGGCCAGAAAAGGAGTCTTTACAAAGAGAACCTATGAAAAACAAATAAGTGTTAGAGAGAGAAAAACCCAGAAACTCCAGGGTTTCTACTCAACAGCTGACCCATTCAACTAATGGGTGATAAACATCAGCAGAATAGGAACTGAATACAGAGCGCAAAGTTGTTTTGAACAGCAGCGACAGACTCCCTGTTCCCTAACAAAAGTTCACCTACAGGTATCTACTTTACACGGAGGGCAATGGAATACTGAAAGAGCTCAATTCAGAAATGACTTTCATGAAACGATAAATTCATGAATCTGCTAGTACTTCCCGTACTACATATTGTACTACTGTATTGCCATAGGACATTAGTTTTCCTGTGGTTCTATCTCATCAAACAGCTTAATAATTAATGACTTAAAATATAACAGAAAATATGGGACAGGACACACTATTAAACTAAGGCCAAAGCCTTAGTCTTTGGGCACAGATTTATGCTTGAGCAAATGAAGCACTTTAACAAAATGAGAAATTCATCATTCATTGTCATCTGTAGTTTGGAGATTTTAATTTCATTTATGCAGTTTCAACACACACAACTAGAAGACAAAACACTGGGTTTTTTGGGGTTTTTTTTATTTCAAAAAAGGAGGTGTTAAGTAATATGCAATTACAACACTGATTCCATGTTTTATTTCTTAGAGTACTGAGTAAGAGATTAGAGATGACCCAAAGAATTATCCATTTATCACACACAAATTCTCCTCATTTTGGTTAATGTGGGCCACTAAATTTAAAACATCTATTTGTAGGGTGCACCTGTCAAGCCTATCATTCTTCCACACCTTTGTGTGAATTATATTCATTTGTCAGATCACAGCAACACAAAATCAAGTTGGGTAATTTTTATTTTTGTGATGACAAAAGGGATATTTAGGGGCACAAATCTTCAAGGTAAATAGTGTCTAGAGGATAAAAAAATAGGTGAATATGCAGAGAAACGGAAATTGTTGCCAATGCTTAGAGACAAGAAATTATGGCTAGTCTGAAAGTCTTCAGGATAAGCTTCTTTCAAATTTTACAAATACCACAGCTAACTGTGGTCCTTTCCCTGAGAGGAACAGCTTTAAAGGTAAGAGAAAATAGGAGGATATACTTACTTGTAGCCTTCCCCATCCCTCTTTATCGTCAATAGGGAAGTTTCACAATATTGGGACTATTAGAAATATATCCCAGGATTGTTGAAGGGGATTTTCTCCCTAAAAATCATAGAATTTAGGAGTAGAAGAAACATGAGCAATCATCTCATTCAACCCCCTCTTAAAAGGTGATGAAACCAGGAGGGAATGGAAATAACCAAGATTATACAACTCTTAGTGGCCAGGCCCGAACGAAATCTCAGGTCGGACTCTCATTCTAGTGCTTTTTATTTTACCAGAATGTCCTGGTGAAAAGTCCTGAGTCCAAGACCTCTAGAAATTTCAGTTAAATAAATCTCATCTCTCACCTGTGAAATTTTGTGTTCAGAGTGGTGGGTTACAAAGAGTTAGATGATAAAAGGCACGAGGGCAAGGAGAAGGACTTTCACAACCCTATTCAAAGTACAACTAAGGAGTTCTGGTAGTGTATTCATTATGAATTGAGCTGCTAACCTCAAGGTCAGCAGTTTGAAACTACCAGCCATTCTGGAGGACAAAGATGAAGCTTTCTGCTCCCATAAAGATTTACAATCATGGAAACCAGATACAGGATCTCCACATTGAGTTGGAACTGACTCCAAAAGAATACTACCAGTTAGTACAACTATACTGTATCAAAGTCCTGGTGTGGTGCTGTAGGAAAAACTCTAGACTGCAAGGTCAATTTGAACACAAGGTGGTGGTTCAAACCCACCAGCTTCTCCTCAAAAACCCTATACAGGGTTTACTATGAGTCAGAACTGACTCAGTGGCACTCAACAACATACTATACTACCATCACTCAAAGAGGTAAAGATAGCGTGAAGGAGAGCCATTTGACTTCACAGTAGTTTTACTTTTAAAAGAACACATAAATGATAAGGTGTGTAAACAGCTACACAATTGAGATGCTGCTAGGAAAAGGGTACTAAAAATTACACCAGAAAACCAGAACGCAGTTTTCCAGCTAAAGGACTTTTAAAATTACTTGCTAGTTCTGTGTCCCGTCACATCTAAATCTACAGACTTAAAACATACTCTGGGCACACAGCCCGGTGACAGAATCATATACGAAGAGTACTTGGATACCATGATAATAAATAATGGAAGATTAACAACACATTAAACTTCCTTCCACAAAACTAATCACAACATATGGTAAATGGCCACAAGTCAGATTTTACACATTATAAGTTTCTCATCTAGAATCATAATGTAATATCAATACTACGCGATGGTGATACACTGCCAAGCAGAAAAACTCAAGGTGAATGTGGTTCACACTCTAGCAAAAGTAATCAGAATTAAACTTTATGCCAATATTAGATTAAATTAGACTTCATAAATTCTGTGGCAAACAAAAGGCACTTTTCAACTTGGTAACTGAATCCCAAAATAAGTGTAACTATTCAACATTTCTTTTATCTGAAACACAAAGAACTTCCACATATGGCTTTTCAGTATATGCAATAGTATAGGAATTCAAACTCTGAGTTCTGCAAGAACTTCTTTTTCTATGCATCTTTATTTTCATTTATATGCAGCCTGTTTTTACTGTTTCCCTATATCTTCCCAGAGCAGAAATCATTTGGTATTTTGATGTAAGAGGCCAGATTAGCAATTTACAACAGAAAATTATTATACAAACAGTACCACAATCAGATTTAAAAAAAATTAAACTGACAAAGAGCCCAGCCAGACAAGTTAGAGACATGAGAGTCCCTAGGTGATGACGCCTGGCTGCAGCATCCACTCAGATGCATCTCAGCAGTAAGGCCTGGTGATCTGCTTCCAATACACCAAGGAACCAGTGCGGGAGACAGTTTCACTCAGACACACCTCAGGTCCATTTGATGACAATTGGCTAGTTTTATTTTAATAAGAAATGTTCAATTCCAACACTGAAATAATAACCATGGATGAAAAATTACTTAGAAAACCGAGAAAATCCTTGTATCTTAAATTTTCTCACTTAATTAATGATTTTATATGAACTCCAGAGCCAAGAGCATATACTTAAAGAAACTCTCTTTTGCAGGCTTAAAATAGTTATGCTCAATATTGTTTTTAAATCCCAAAGATCTTAATATGAGATTGAGGTTTTATCTAGACAGAACCACAAGTTTATCATGTGGTTCTAGAGTCTCAATAAAGAGACTGTCTCACAGCTAGAGTTGTCCATGCCTGTTTCCTACAGTACTAATGACGTTTTTATCAGATGGCTCAAGGGCTTTCTTTCACAACTGTGCCATGAACAAAGGACGAAAATAACACTTTATCCTGAAGTACTTACAGAAAGAACCTTAAGAAAAATAACCTTTGGAACATATGAGAAAAGATTTTTTTTAAATTGTAATAAAAAAAAAACCCACTATGACATTCATTAGGAGCGGCATCTCCTACCCACAAGCCTCTTCAGTTCACCAATTATTAAAAAGCAAACAAACAAAATAGTCAACTTCTTATTACATGTGTCTAGCATTTTTACGAAAGGCAGAGGAAAAGTACTCAAAAGAAAATTTCCTCATAGAAGAGATGTGAAATACTCTACAAGTTGAGAAATGGGTAGTAGCAGAAAATCGTATCTGCTCTTGTTAGTTTTAAAACTGATTTCAGCAGTCATATACAACTTTTCATTTAGAGTGAGCTGATAAAGATTCATAGGCCATTTAAGAACAGAATAGATGATTTGGTACATTACTAATTTCATTTAGTACACAACCGAAATTTTCTACTGGGAGCGGGGGATCCAGTAGAATAGAAAGCAACATTTTTGAAAAAGCAGAGAAGAAAAGCATTAGCCATTCAGTCCCTATATTACCAATTAATTTCACATATTTAAAGATGCATTACTTTAGAAAGCGCTCCACAGATTTTTGCCTTCAATTGTATTGTTTTAATGAACAGCTATGAGGGTTAAGATCAAAGGTTATCAGCCTTGACTTATGTTACATTATTCACTTATTTTTGTCATCCAAAGAAAATGGACTTAGAGGGGAAAAAAATTGGGTATTTTCTGTTTATCACAAATAGCTGTGGCTTCTTTGTAAAAGCTGAATGTTTCAGAATATCTATGAAACATTCCCATTGTGGCAATCAAACCGTGGTTCTTTGTGCTGAGCCATGAGATCCTCAGAGAAACTGAGGAGCTATGAAAGTACACTTTGAAATAAAAATGTGTGTAATTAAATGAAATGCCTATGGCACCTACTTTAAATGGAATGAGCCAATTTCTGAATTTTTTTTCTATAGAAATGCACTTCAAATGTATATTACTGCATGTAGACACTGACAGTTCACTAATTCTAGTATCTTGGTATTAATTAACATTCCTCTTTTTGGAAATCAACAGCATGAAAGTAGCAAAAGGCTAGTCAAAACATACTGGCTCATCATTCCATCTTTGAACAGTATTTGATCTAGTATAGCAATAGCATGTTGACCGCCAACCTTTTATTGCCTTAGTGGTTTTTATTCCAGTAATTCATCCATTCTATTTCTCAGTTAGAAGCTTATATTATGAAAAGCTTCAACGTAATATAGATAAATACAAAGTAACACATTTCCCCCACCTCTGATATCTTTTCTAATGAGTACAGGGTGAACTGTCCCACCTGTGGAATTCTCGGAGGATTCTGCAGAATTTGAATCAGTGCCAGTTTTGTCTTTCAAAATCTTAGGAAGAGTTTCGTCTCTACTTTCTTGTGCTTGGCTTTCTTCCTCTTCCTCCTCACCATCTGGGAACTCCCACTGAGACTCGCCCGACTGTTCGTTTACATAGAAATATCGTCTATGATCCCTAAATCACAAGAAAGAAAACACATGTTTTAAAATCTATTCTCCTACAAAGACACTCCATTTGGTCCTGTCCCAGGACAGCAGTCTGCTCTCACAGGGACGAACCTCTTCTTAATGGACTGCTATTCACAAAGGCAACAAAGAGCTTTGACAATTGAGGATGGAGAGCCAAGGATAATTCAAAGCTATTTGCACTGCCAGCAGCTCTGTGAATACAGCCCTGAGTCCTCTACAACAGATGACTTAGAAAACATCTCTCTCTCTCTCTTTTTTTTGCCAATGCTTCACAGGGCTTCAAGTGTCATGATTGAAGGGACTCAATCGCCTATAACACTAATTTCCCTTCCAAGAAGAGAACAACGAAGTTTGTGAAAGGTGCCTCTTCCCCTCTTGGATCGTGGCATTCACATTTCATACTCTTGGTATCAAACACAGTGAAAGCTAAAGAGAGGGAGAGGATCTGGGAGCTGAAAAATAAAAGAGCAAAGATTTCAAATAACGAAAAAAAAAAAAAAAAAATCAAGAAAAGCCAAATATAAAAAGAAATATTTTCATCTGACCTGCTGGCAGAAGATAGTAATCTTGTTCTTCATTCACATCTTCAGCCATGAAGCTTTCCTTAACTTCGCCGAGGTTAATCAGGAGTAGTTGCTTCCAGAGGTCCTGTAAAGCGCACAGAGCTCTCGCATGCGCTTAACCCCCAAGCCCGCCCTACTCCGTGCAACACTCTGGAGAGTAAACACCAGCTTGTCCAATCTTGGGAAAAAATCCGTTACATGGAACACTTTAAACATTGTTTTTTGTTTCTCCAATGTGTGGCTGGCCCAAACTGTAAAAGTGCTTGTGGTGCTCTGCCTGCCCAGCACCGCTATCTGCAGCTGCTCTCAGTCTCCAGACAGGCTGTCACGTCGTCAGGTGGTGGTGATCACAAATCATGTCTGAGATGTCAAAGGTGAAAGGTGAAAAGGGGAGAAGAGTGCGTACCTGTCCCAGTGGCAGGACCAGCCTTTAGGAGTGGCGTTTATTTCATACTGTTTTAGTTGTTCTGCTGCATCCTGAAGTTTTCGTTTAAGGTAGCTTCCATTAAGAGCCCCTTCCCGCCAGTCCGCAATCCGAGTCTAGAGTTAAATACATGGAGAAGTAGGGTTAAGAGCTGCTATGATGTCAGGTGAGAGAGGTCAAAGGGACACAAGTCCTCCGGTATAACACTTGTATCTCCACGCTCTGGCAAAAGAGAGGGTGAGTGGAGAAGAAACCCACTGCATTTTCAAAAAGCAATCTTGTTTACTCTGGAGAGTTGTAAAAACTGGGGCTGGGCCCCAGTACATTTTTATACTGCCAACTCTTTAATTTTGAAAAATGAATATCAGAAATTTATCCACTTCTTTGGAGTATATTGTTTTCCTTAGTTATTTGATAAAATATGCAGATTACATATAGACTCAGGATTTTTCTCCCCTTGTATTTACAGGAAATCTCAGAGAGCTGGAAGTAGACAGGACTGCCTCATTTTTTTTCTGGTTTGCAAGTTTTCCGCCTTTGATAGTAGAGCAGCCACTTTTCTATTGCTTGTTTTAATGGAAAATATATGAGTTTTCCTTCTATAAGTTCTTAGAATTTCCAGCTTTCACAAGTTTTACTGTAGTTTTTGTTGTTGTTAAGTGCTGTCGAGTTGGTTCTGACTCACAGCGACCCTGGAGAGGGCTTCCAAGGCGCAGCTATTGAGTTTGAACCACTGACCTTGTGGTCCAGTTTATCCTACAGCACCACACTAGGACTCCTTTACTGTAGCAGGCATTTTCATATCACAAACTCTTAAGTATTTATCTTTATAGAATTTTCCTTTGGCTGATATATAGCCTAATCTGTTGGGTTGGTAGCTAATACATGCACCAAATTTAGAATTTAACTTTACAATGAAACACAAACATAACAGATACTCACATACACACATCATCTCATTCAAACACTGTTCATAATACAAACAATGGCTCAATCACCTCAGTCTGTAAGAGCAGCAAATGAAAGTTGGAGATGGATTGTCTATTAATGCCTAGGAATTCAAATTTACTGGTCAGGGTATTTGCCAGTTCGCCAATCTGAAACTGTAGGACAGGAAAGAGAAAAATAAAATCAACAATATTTTTTTTACTATGTGAAACCTTCCATTTATTACTATAGATACTAAAAGCGTAAGTCATTCTATAAATAGCATTCTTCAAACAGTATCATCTAAGCAGTTAACATAGAAGGCAAAAATTTAATGTATAAATTCAGAACAAAGTGATCAATGACAGTTCACCAGAATCAAATGCAAAATCATATACTTACACCATCACTATACATTCTAACACATGATGGACTTCAGCACAAATGCATCATATACTTACACCAACAGTATACATTCTAACACAAGATGGAATTCAGCATTTGACAACAGATCTTGAATAATGTAATTCACAATGAGATATAGCACTGGACCACAAGGTTGGTGGTTCAAACCCAACCAGCCACTCCTTGAAAACCCTATACAGGGTTGCTATGAGTCAGAACTGACTCAACAGCACTTTAACAACAACATTGTTCAAGATGTCCTTTATCTGTTTACTAATTATTTATACTACCCATATACTGAAACAAAAACTAATTTTCCCAATCCCTATTACATGGCTGTACAGTAGCTAGTGGCTGGATAAACTCATTTAGGTCAAAGGATATGCCAAGTGTTTTTTTCAAGACTACCCTTAAATAGTCAATCACTTCTTGGCCCAATTTTCCCCATAAGATTAGGTCAGAAATATGGAAGTAGTTCATATAGGAAATCAGATCTGCAAATTTTAGTCTTTTTAGCACTTTTTAAACTATGGAACCAGTCTATCTGATAAGTTACTGCTTTTCAGTTGAAGACTTTATGTGAAGGAATATAATCCAGCACATACAATTTAATTTTATATCATTTCTCTCTATGAAGCCAGTTTAATAATTTCTTAACTTGATCTTTAAGTAGGACCTTTTTACCTAACCAAGTAAATGACTGATATTTGGAGATGACAAAGATTACCTCTCCTGCTTGCTAATAGGAAGATAAAATAGTTTTAACGGTTATCAAGTTTTTCTAATACTTATTTATCAAATTGCACTCAGTAATAAATCATACTTTTAAATCCTGTTCTTCTTCTACTTTAGGTGCTGTTTGTAGTTTTATTTTCTCTGGAGATTCTTCAACTTCCATCTCTTTGTCTGAATTCTCTTCAATTTTTTCTGAACTTTCAGCACCAATTGCTGCAAAAAGAAACATAAATTAAACGACAATACTGATAGAGTCCCATCTATCTGTTTCTAGTCCTATAGCAGGTTATTTATTGGTTCTCTCCTTGCCTATCTCTTCATTATCTGTTACAGAAGCCCTAATAATGGCCAAACATAAAGCAAAACTGAATTATTCTTTATAATCACTTTTATAAAAGAATCAATCTATAAAATTTACCCTACTCTACCACATTAACCTATATACTTACAAAAGCTAGATATCAAACCTGAGATTCAAGGAGACTTCAAAAGTCTGTGGTAAATTTCCCTTATCTCTTTAATTCCATTTTTTTCATGAACTTATGGAGTAACCTTATAATGACCCTGGCTCTCCTTTTGTTTCCTCACCAGTACATTTTCTGTATTTTTAAACTGTGTAAAACAAAATCTATCACCTATTTACTTATAACTCAATTTTGTATTAGAAATCTTTTTGTAGCAGTTAAAAGACTTTTTTCAATGACGTAAAGCACCACCTTGTGTGGTGCTGTAGGATCAGCACTGGACTGCAAACTACAAGGTTGGCAGTTCAAACCCACTCACTTCTTGGAAACCCCATATAAGGTCAGGGTCACTATGAGTCCAAACCAACTCGACAGCAGCACTGATAACAGAGCTCAAAGCCTTAAACATTTGAGCGCCATTAGGAAGGAAGCAGCATAGTAAAATGCTTATTCCCCTTGATGTAGCAACAGAAATCTGGTGATCTACACTATCGCTTGCTGTTGGGTGTCGTTGAGTTGGTTCTGACTCATAGCGACTTTATGCACAACAGAAAGAATCGCTGCCCAGTCCTGTACCATATTCACAATCCTTGATAAGCCTGAGCCCACTTCTGTTGCCACTGTGACAATCCATCTTGTTGGGAGTCTTCTTCTTTTTCACTGACCCTTCATTTTACCTAACATAATGTCCCTCCCTCTCCAGGGACTGGTTTTAAGTACCAGAGATGAAGACTGGCCATCCTGGATTCTCAAGGGCATTCTGGCTGTAGTTTTCCCAACACAGCTTTCTTTGTTTTTTTATCAGTCCAGAAGCACCTTAGTCCTCAAACTGACATCTCTGCCTAAAGCAATACATTATTTGATTTCTTGATTGCTGCTTCCATGAGTGTTGATAACTGGATCCAAGCTAAATGACGTCTTTGAAAACATGAATGTTTTCTCTATAATGAAAGCTAAAACTTAAAATACTGATGAAGATCAAAATCAATATTTTAAGTCCTTGATGCTTTCAGCAAGTAAGGCTGTATCACTTGTATATCTCAAATTATTAATGAGTCTTCCTCTAATCCTGATGCCACATTTTTCTTCATATTAATCCAGATTCTCAGATACTTTGTGCAGCGTACAAACTGAATAAATATGGTGAAAGAATACAAACCTGGCGCACACTTTTACTCATTTTAAATCAATCAGTGCCCCACTGTTCTGTTCGAATGACTGCCTCTTAAACTATGTACAGGTTCAAGAACACAATTAAGTGTTCTGAAATGCTCATTGTCCACAATGTTGTCCATAACGTTTCATGATCCACACAACAGAAAGGATTTTCACAGTCAGTAAAGCACAGGCAAACATCTTTCTAGTATTCTCTGCTTTTAGCCAAGACTCATCTGACATCAGCAATGATATCACCCAGAGCCTTGTTCTTTGTCAATGCCTTCAGTGCACTTTGGACTTCTTCCTTCAGTACCACTGGCTCTTGATTTTAACCATATGCTACCTCTTGAAACAGTTGAACATCGACCATTTCTGTTTCGTACAATAACTGTATATTCCTTCTACCCGATTTTGAAACTTTTTGTATCATTCAATATTTTGCCCATGTTGTTGTTGTTAGGTGTTATTGAGTCGGTACTGACTCATAGTGACCTTATGCACAGAACGAAACACTGCCCAATCCTGGGCCAACCTCACTATCATTGCCACGCTTGAGACCACTGATGCTGCCACTTTGCCCATAGAATCCTTAAATATTACAAATCAAGTCTTAAATTTTTTCTTCAGTTCCTTCAACTTAATAAAGCTGAGTGTGTTCTTCTCTTTTGGTTTTCTAACTCCAGGGTTTTGCACATTTCATTATATTTAACTCTGTCTTCTCAAGCTAGCCTCTGAAGTTTTCTGTTCAGCTCTCTGTACTTCCTCAGTCTTCCATCTGCTTTAACATCTCTGTGCTGGAGGGCAAACTTTAGTCTCTCTGACATCCATGTTGGTCTTTTCCTTCTTTCTTGTCTTCTTTATGACCTTCTGCTTTCTTCTTACATGGTGTTCTTGAGATTATCTCTAAATTCAGGTAGGCTATGTTCAAGGTCTTGCTTTGGCTCTTACAGATTTAATTAAATTCAGCTTCAGCCTGAACTTGTATCTGAGAAATTATTGGATGCACTGTTCTATATTTGGTCCCTGGCCTGGGTTTGGCTTATGACATGGTGCTTTTCCACGGTCTCTTCCCAGAGATATAGTCAATTTTATTTCTGTGTATGTTGTCTGGTATGTTCCATATTCTGGTTATTAAAGATGTTTACAACTATTTCTCATTTTAAGTTGTGCACCCATAGCAAATAAAGGTCCCAAAAGCTTTACTACATCTGCATCATTATGGTCAACTCTACTCTGAGGAGGAGTTCATCCTTTGGCAACGTATCTCACAAAATTCTGGTAGTATCTGACAGTGTTTCACCGCTATTCATAAGGCTTTTAGTGGATAAACAGTCAGAAGCAGTCTGCCTCTCCACTTAGTGTGTCTTAATCTGGAAGTTCAGATGAAACTTGTCGCACTATGGGCGTACCCTGATGCTATTTTAAATACTGGTGGCATAGTTTCCAGACTCAGAGCAATATATAAGCCGCCACAGTACAACACGTTGACAGACAAGGGTTGTTGTTAAGTGCCATCGAGTCAGCTCTGACCCATAGCGACCCTGTACAGGGTTTCTGAGGGTGTAAATCTTTACGGGAGTAGAAAGCCTCATCTTTCTCCCGCAGAGCAGCTGGTAGTTTCAAATCGCTGACCTTAAGGTTCGCAGCCCGAGTCGTAACCACTATGCTACCAGAGCACCACATTGACGTTGTCAATATGACAATGACAGACAAGGGTAGTAATACTAAAATGCACACATAAAATAAATGTACCAGAATGTTTACAGAGTATTTGTACATTGAACTATGTGTTCTTGGATCAATTATCAACACTCACGGAAGCAGCAGTCAAGATATCAAACGATGTGTTGCATTAGGCAAATCTGCCACATAAGACCTTTTTAAAGTATTGAAGAGCAAAGATGTCAGCTTAAGGACTAAGGTGCGCCTGACCCAAACAATGGTATTTCCAATAACCCCCTTATACATGTGAAAGCTGGACAGTGAATAAGGAAGACAGTAGAAAAATTGATGCTTTTGAATTATGGTGTTGGAGGAGAATATTGAAAGTGCCACGGGCTGCCAAAAGAACTAATAGATCCGTTTTGGAAGAAGTGTAGCCAGAGTGCTCCTTGGAAGCCAAGATGGCCAAACTTTGTCTCTCATACTTCGGACAAACTGTCAGGAGGGACCAGTTGCTGGAGAAGGATATCATGTTTGGTAAGGTGGAGAGTCAGAGAAAAAGAGGAAGACCCCCAGAGAGATGGATTGGCCAAGTGCAGCATCGATGAACTCAAGTGTGGCAACAGTAGTGAGGTGGCTCACGATCAGGCAGTGTTTCGTCCTGCTGTGCATAAGGTCGCTATGAGTCGGTACCAACTTGATGGCACCAAACAAGAACAACCAGCACCCTGACAGACCTCTCTGCCACTACTATCCTACTCTCCACTGGTTCCCTGTCATGTCAACATGACCTCTATCTTGACGGTTATTACAGTCTAGTAGGTCTTTGCTTTAGTCCAACCATATGCAGATAGATTTTAAAGCACAGTATTTTGTCTATTACCTAACTTATACATATAGAATATTAACACTTTTCTATGACCTTTTGTTCAACATTAACCTATGTTGATGCATGTAATCATGGTACACACATGTCATTACTGTGGAAGCATTCCACTGTAAAAAATCACAATTGACAAAACTCTTGTAACAATGGACATGTTATGTTAGTAGCTTAAAATTTTGATAATAAAAATGCAGCATTACTTTTAAAAGTTAAAAATGGACACGATTTAAATGTCCTTCAATAGGATAAAGTTAAACAAGGTTATGAAATTAGTTTAAAAACATATGTGCGTGCATACACACATATACATACATGTATGTTAAGAGAAAAAGGTCTGGAAGAATATATGTATTTTAAGACAAGAGAAACTAAGACTTCAAGGATAGAAAATGAAAATAAGGAACAGTAAAGGGAACTTTTATAATTCTACTTCATGTTCTTCATTAAAAAGAAAATTTCTAAGCAAGTATGTTTGCATTAATGTATTACCTGTAGGGCTTGTTTTTTTAAATCATGACCTACATTGGTGTTTTATTGCTAGGCGTACTCAAAATGTGCTTGGTGTTCAGAATGCACTGCTAACCTTTCCGCTACAGAATTAGGTCAAATGGAGATTAAAATAAAATATGAGTTTTTGTCACAGCTCTCTGATCTAGATTGGAACAATGCAGCCGAGCTTGTCCTCCCTGACCCTGAATGAAGATAAACTGGGTCCTCGCAACAGAACCAAACTGTCTACTCACCCAACACCCAGAGGCTGCAAAACTTGTACACAGAGAACAGAAGACGGGGCTTGTCAGAGAAAGGCCTGGCCTAACTTGCTTACCAAGTAAAGAGTACAAAGGAGAGCGCACCGTTCTCAGACAGATAAAAGCTACTACAGGGGCAAAATATTTAAAAAGAATTTAAAAAGTGGGGTGGCACTGTTTTTTTCTGCTTTTGAAGAAATCATGTCCATGCAATAGTGAATACATGACCCAAGGCAGCCAGTCTTTCAGACATTTACTTCCCTCCCCAGGAGGAGGTCATGAAGCAAGGGAAAAAAAGATGGTAGAGAAGTGGAAGGCGCTTCCTTCTTTGCACTTTCCCAAAGGGATCAAAGTATACTTAGTACTGAAGAGGGAATAAAAAAGGGAAAGCTGGGTCTGTCTCCCTTCGATGGCTTTCAACTGTAAAGTTCAGGAAAATATGAATTACCAATTTCTCCATTTTCTGGAGTATCTTGTCCAGTTTTGCTAGAACTTCGGCTGGTGGATTCTGTACTGGCAGCTCGAACAAACAACTTCCACTTTCCTCTTTTAGACATAAGTCTACGCATTCCATCTTGTGACGCTGGCTGGCTGATATCAGAACATGGGCTAGACCCTGACACACTACCATCTCCTTCCTCCAAGGCTCGCAGCTCTGCCTAAAAGTAACAGCACAATAAAGTGAGTTTCACTGACTGTATTCAGGCACTCAAACAAATGAACAAGAATGGTAGACAGCACTATGTTCTTAAAACCTTTTAAGGCAGGCAGCATTTAATACATTTTTTCATTAGAGCTGAGTATTATACTCATAATACTACTCAATAAATGCTTACTGGAAGACCCCTAGCGAGATGGATTAGCACAGTGGCAGCATCAATGGGCTCAAGCGTGGCAACAGTAGTGAGGTTGGCCCAGGATCGGGCAGTGTTTCGTTCTGTTGTACATAAGGTCGCTATGAGTCGGTACCGACTCCATGGCACCTAAAAACAACAGCATGATCCTAGTAATGAATATTGATTTGAAAGGGCTAGAGTCTAGTGAGCCACAAATAGACAACACACCTAATACTGTGCCTAACAGGAAGCTGACTTAATCCTTCTCTATGACTGGTGCCTGGTTCCTTGGGTGATGTAAATCCTCTGCACTAACTAACCTAAAGCTTAGCAGTTCAAATCCACCTGGCAGTGTCCTGAAAGAAAAGCCGGTTAATCTGCTTCTATAAAGATAATAGCAAAGAGAGCCCTATGCAGAAGTTCTACTGCGCAACATGGGGTCTCTTGCTATGATTGGAACTGACTTGGTAGCAATGGATTTGGAGTTGTATTTTTTTCCTAAAATTTTAAAGAAATGTAAAAACAAACCTGTCCAATTTGATTCTGATTCATTCTGATTCTGTAAGACAGACCAGAACTGCCCCACCACATACGGTTTTGAAGGTGGAAAATATTTACCAAAGCAGAATGCAACATCTCTTTCTTGGGAAGCTGTTGGTGGGTTCAAATTACTGACCTTGGGCTGTCCGTCAAGCACTTAACCATTCATTTCCCCACCAGGGCTCCTTTTCTATAACTTTTCTTAAAGGTGCCCTGTTCAACTGCAGAGTTTAGAATGTGTGTCACTTCTCAGTTCTGGCAATAGTCTAGTCTCCTGTATCATGATCCCTTTGAAAGGGTTCATTCTGCTTCTTATAAGTCTCTTATTCCAGGGCTTCTCCACAGAATTTCCCCACACTAATTCTTGTTTCAGGCACCCACATTTTTCAAACGGTATTCTGGCCTGGTTTCATTTCGTTGGCCCTGACTAAACTGGGAAACCGGTTCAAAGACCTGGTTCTAACACCTGTTATGATTTACCTTACTTTTAAGGGTTTTTTAAAGACAAAAGTAGACTGTGTAGACATCTTTTTAAAAGGAAGAGTTATTAATTAAAAGTATTTCTTAGTTTTCTACTAATAATTTCCAATATAATACAATGGTTGATCACTGTCACCTTGCAGCTTAGGTTAAAAACTGAGTTGCCACAAGCATTTACAATGTTCATTTGTTAAAGAGATTAAAGTTTCTTTGCTTACTGTTACATATCCTTAAATAGACAAGAGAACTATAGATCTGCAGTTAAAAGTCACTTAAATGAAAGGATTAAAAAAATCCCAACAACAATCATGGTAAATTGTGCACAATGATGCCCCAGTATGAACAGATTTGAGGGGAAAAGTGTACTTTAACTTCTATTAACACTTACTTTTTTCCTTTCTAAAACCAGCTCCAATTCAAGAGTATCTTGTTCTTCTTCCTCCTCACTTTCTCCAGACTGAACAACACTACAAAGATCCTCTTGAGAAGGGTCTTCTAAATTGTCCATTAGAATTTCCTGTGGCTTTACTACTGTTGCTACTTCTTCTTCTGTTGTACTTGCTTCCTTCACATCTGAAACAGGCTCTACTTCTTTACATATTACTTTTCTTCTCCATCTTTCTTCTTCTTCCTTTATTCCCTCAGGTAATAAAGGGGCAAGCAGGGAGGCTGCCACCCCTTTCTTCTCTTCCTCACTATTGGAAAGCGCTTGAATTCCTTCATTTACTTCCTATAAAAAAGGAAATAATGTAATTTCACTTAATTCTCACCAGCATTTATATTCAACTACTCATGTTAATACTATTTTTCCATTGCTAAATACTCACACATCACCAACTCTCACTAGATTACTATGTGTATTTGTACTATCTACTTACAACTCTGTTACTCTTGGAAGGCAGTGGATGAAATACAATCTATTTCATATATATTCCCTGCCTATTCTTGTTTTGTTAGGTGTCATCTAGTCGACAGACTCATAGCTACCCTTTGCACAACAGAAAACACAGCCCAGTCCCACACCAAGGTCACAATCGCTGGTACACCTGAGCCCATTGCTAACACCACTGTGTCAATCCATCTCGTTGGGGGCGTCTTCCTCTTTTTTTCTGATCCTCTACTTTATCAAACATGATATCCTTCTCCAGGGATTGGTCCCTCCTGATAATATCTCTGAAGTATGTGAGATGAAGCCTGGCCATCCTGGTTTCCAAAGAACATCCTGACTGTACTTCTTCCAACACGTTTATTTTTTTTTGAAAGTCCGTAGTACTTTTAATAATTCTTTCCCAATAGCATAACTCAAATGCATCAATTCTTTTATGGTCTTTATTCACTGTCCAACTTTCACATGCATATGTGGTGGTGGTGCCATGGAGTCAGTTCCGACTCATAGCGACCCTGCACAGGGTTTCCAAGGCTGTAAATCTTTTCGGCAGCAAAAAGTCTCATCTTTCTCCTGCGAAACAGCTGTTAATTTTGAACTTCTGACTGTGAGATGAGCAGTCCAATTCGTAACCACTACTTTACCAGAGCTCCTTTTATGTGGTGGTAGTGGTAGTTACGTGCTGTGGAGCTGGTTTGGACTCACAGTGATCCTGTATGCAGGGTTTCCAAGGCTGTAAATCTTTATGGAACAGAAAACCTCATCTTTCTCCTGCAAAACAGCTGGTAGTTTTGAACTGCTGACTCTGAGGTTAGCAGCCCGATTCGTAAGCACTACTTTATCATGATTTAGATCAGATGCACCACCTTAGCCTGACTCAAACTCTTGCACGTTTCATTATAATATTTAAGTTGAACTTCAAAATTTTCTGTTCAGATCTTTGACTTCCTCTTTCTTCCATTTGCTTTAATGACCTTTTGCTTTCTCCCTTTATGATGCTCTTTTTTTTTGGGGGGGGGGGCAGGTGCACTTTATTTATTTTTAAATGTTGTATTGTGAATTATGCTAGTTTACATGGGAGAACATTAGCTTTATATTCATCCTATTGTATATTGTTTCATTGCCATAGTTATAATCCCCTCCATGTATCATCAACTAACCAAAGAGTATACCCTGCAAACCTACTCCCCAGTCATCAGCACACAATTCCTCTCCCTCTCTGAGTCTAGAGTCACCAGCTGCTCCATCTCTCCACGTCATGGTCTCTGCCTCCACCTCTGGCGTCACTGTTTCTCTGGGTAGGGTCTCACACGTTGCTCTTCTCCCGTGATGGTTCCAGGGACCTTAGCTCCTGGACTGCATAGTCAAATCACGCACCTCCTTTTGCTACAAAACGTCCACCTTTACATTTCCAACCCTTGCAGTGAGTTCCGATAACAATTATTCACCATTGTACTACAAGGGAGCTACCTTCATCTCCTTTCATTAGGCCCAGACAGACAAACTGGATACTACTCAGTGGAGATTCTACCTTCCTCCGCGTCCTCTGGATTTAGGCTCCCTCTTGAAAGCTTATAAGCCACTTCTTGCCTTTGTAGCCCCTCTCCCCACCATTTTGGGTAGCTAATGTCCAAGTTGCCCATCCCTGTCTACTCTGTGTATAGATATAGAGGGGGTGGGAATGATCCTCGCTGTAAAGATTTATTCCCTCTTTTGAGCTACTGCATCCATAGATGTAGGTCAAGTTCATCAAACTATCAGATTACTCTTTTGTATGATGGTCTTGATGTCATCCCACTACTCTTCTGGTCTAATGCATCAAATGTGTTCCTCAGATGATCTCTAAATTCAGGTGTATTATGTTCAAGGTCATAATTTGGCTCTAGTGGACTTGTTTCAATTTTCTTTAGCTTCAGCTTGAACTTGCATATGAGCAATTGATGCTATATTCCAGTCTGCCCTGGCCTTGTTTTGGCTGATGATGAGGAGCTTTTCCAATGTGTCTTTCCATATATGTAGTCAATTTGATTTCTGTGTATTCCATCTGGTGAGGTCCATGAGTACACTTGTCCAAAAAAGGCATTTGAAATGAACAAGTCATTGGCCTTGCAAAATTCCATCATGCAATCTCCATCATCATTTTTTTATCACCAAGAAAGTATTTTCTAACTACTAATCCTTCCTGTTTCCAACCTTTGCATTATAATTGCCAGTAATTAACACATCTTGATGGCACATTTGATCAATTTCAGACTGAAGAAGTTCATAGAATTCTTTGATTTCATCAGTGACTTTAGTAATTAGTGCATAAACCTGAATTAATAGTGGTATTAACTGGTCTTCCTTGTAGACGTTTGGGTATCATCCTATCAGACAGCGTTGTACTTTAAGACAGATCTTGATACATTCTTTTTGATGATTAATGCAATGCCATTCCTCTTCAATTTCTCATTCCCAGTAAACCATGTGATTATCAGATTCAAAATGGCCAATACCAGCAGTTCATTTCAGATCACTAATGCCTAGGATAACCATGTTTATGTATTGCATTCATTTTTGACAAATTACAATTTTCCTAGATTCAGACTTAACACATTTTATATTCTGATTATTGTTTACAGCTCGTTCTCTTCATTGAGTTGTTGCCCATCAGCACAATGAAGGTCCCAAAGGCTTTACCCCATTCTCATCATCATGGTCAACTCTACTTTGAGGAGATAGTTTTTCTCATTGCATTTTGAGTGTCTTGCAACCTGAGGGGCCCATCATCTGGCCCATCATCTGATTGCATTTTGAGTGTCTTGCAACCTGAGGGGCCCATTCTGGTGCTCTTCATCATGTGTCATTATTCAATAATCTGGTGCTCACAGTGTTCCACTGCTATTCATACAGTTTTCAGTGACAAAATATTCAGAAGTTATCTGTCTCTCTTTTTTCCTAGTCTGTCTTATCACTCAGCTGAAACCTGTCTACCATGGGTGAACGTGCTGGTATTTAAAATACTGTAGCATACCTTCTACAATCACAACAACACGCAAGCTACCACAGTATGACAAACCAACAGTTGAGTGGTGGATGCCTATTTTTAAAAACATGCAAATGAGTAAAAGACAGAGGTAGACTCATAAAAAGACTACAGTTTTGTCGGCTGAACCCATGACTGGGTAAATCGTTACCTTCCTCTTTTGTTAGATGATAACCTCACAGGTTTGCTGTGAAGGTGATTTAGAGGCAAGTGAAATACTTCTAAAATGAAATGTGTGATTATATAAAAAGTGTGTTTCCCGCAACAGAGTAACTTTTCTTGTTTCCCTCCAAAAGTTGTGAAGATTAAACTATTGTATAACCACTTTTTGATGGTACATGAAGTGATTAAGTTGCACTAACAGTGTATTTTTATTTTTAAGGTAGTGAAATCTTCATATTAAAAAAAATCCTAAAGTTCTAAAACAGACAAGACTGGACAATTCCTATAAATGCTGCATAATAAACAGAAACAGAATAAAGTAAAATCTTTGAAACAGAATGATTCTACTTCTTATCTGTAACATAAAAATCAATATGAGCTTCCTGTAACAGTGCTCAGTCACAATTACGTTATTTTTAAAATTTTTATTATCAATTGGGTGAAGATTTACAGAGTAGATTCTCAGTTTCACATTAGGCGATTCATACCATTTTCACTTTTGTTACTGACTGCAATCTCCTCACTATATTATCACGTCTCCCACTTTGTTTTTCATTTCCTTTCCTAATCTTTCATAAATATTGCTCTTTTGATTTCAAATGGTTGATTATTCTGAGATGTGTGTACCTCACTGGTGTTATTGCCCCCTTATATGACTATCTATTGCTTAGCTAAAAATAAAGCCATGAGGGTGAGTTCAGCTCCAGACCTGAAGAGACTAGGGCCAGTCTCTCTGGGTTCCACTTAAGTTCTTTAGATATGAAAATAAGCACATGGAGGTAAGTTGCAACACTGACCTTTTTAACCTCTCGCTTGGCTATGACTGGTCCAGTTTTATTACTGGAAATAGAAACCGTCTTTTCCTTAGTAACCACATCTGTATTTCCCACAAAACTAGCTTCAGCACCTGCTACAGAACTAAAAAGAAATACATTTAGTAAGATAAATAGAAGGCAAACATTTCCAACACAACTCAAGGCTCTAATTTCCTTCTAAATGATTTCTTTTCAAGTGTATCCTTACCTGGGCTGATAATGTTGTAACCCCTGCACCTGTGTAGCAAGATATTGGGGTAACTCCCAAGTCACTTCGTTTGTTTGTGTGTTCCAATAATAATAGCACCCTGTGTTCTCATCCCAGACTTCTTGCCAATCTCCCATCTCAATTCCAACTAGAAGAAAACAAAACAAATTTTAAGCAGCTCATTCCTCCTTAGTTATGACCTTCGATTTCAAGTCAGCCCTATGCCACAAAAACCAAGCAGAATGTTTCCTTAACTTGGGCACTATTAACATGTTGCATTGTGTAATTTTTTGTTGTGGAGGACTGCTGTGTGTATTGTTGCTGTAGTTAACTCACAGCACCACACCAGTTTGATATTTAGCAGCAGCATACCTGGCCTCTACCCATTAGATACCAGGAGCATACTCCCAGTTCTGACAACCAAACAAGTTTCCTGACATTGCCAAACATCCCCTGGGGGAAACCCCACTCAACGAGAACAAATGGTCTCATAGCAAGAAATATTTTCTCGATACATACCGAGTCATCTCTGTACCAATAGTTCTAAAAGTTTTCCAGTTCATCAAAGCATTTGAACCCCAAAAGTATTTTTAAACCTTACGATATTACTCACTCGTCATAAACTGTTGCTGGTTAAAAGTGTAAGCAATTAACTTCCCAAGATAAGACATCTGTGGTTTTATCTTTAAGAATCTCAATACCTAGAGCACCTCTAAGGACTGCATTTCTTTTTCTCATTGAGTGGCTGATGAGCTTGAACTGCAGACCCTGTGGTTATCCTACAGAGCTTTTCCTATAAAGCCACCACACTCCCAGGGACTATACTTTAGATGACTTTAAACACGAAAGCACCGAAGAGAACAAACAAGATGGCGGATCGGGTGGAAGTGCAGTAAAGGAGCTCCGCCAAAAACAACACAGACTACCCGACCAAGCAGGCTCAGGAGATGGTCCCAGAACTCTGAACCACATATAAAGTTATATTTAGAAGGTTGGAAGGCTTACAGCTGAAGGAATTTGTGGCAGAAGGCAGAAATCCATTGCTTTCTAGTCAAGGACACTCAGCTGCTCCAGGAGCCGCAATCTTGGGTGAGACCACGTGCGGTAAAGATTGGAGCGGCCACAGACTCCTGGCAGAACCGCAGAGATAAAGGTGTGGACATTCTTTTCTTTTGGTATCTATTCATTGGTCCCTTACTGTCTGCGCACCTCCATTCTGGTGACTATAGGGGTGCCTGAGCTAGTGGGCACCGGTGCCACTACACAATGTGCACAGATCGTCTCGAAATTTAAAGAGACAGTGTCCAATTAAAACCAAACGGCCACAGCCAGCCCTGAACTGTTTACAACTAGAAAAAAGGCCTGAAAGGAGACTGTGGAGTGGGACAAGCAGACAAAAGAGGAAATAAGCCGAAAATTAAATCCTAAGTTACGTCAAAACGACCAACAGTGGTA